TTCATGTGCCGGGCCGCACCGTAAGAAACTTCGGTTGTAAGCGGTATCGCCGACGCACGAGTGTGGGCCCCTATTAATCTACGTATTTAATTATCGCCTTGCTCCGACATAAAACTTTACAGCGATTCAAATTTCATTCAATTCGAGCGGGGCAAAACTGCGTCTGTCTAACTTAATGGGTTCGCGAGTACTTAGCGAGTTTCTCGCAGAATATGTGAAATAATCACGGAATGCGGCTAGCAGGATGGAATCTGTGCTATGCGCCACTCACGTGTGTTTCCGCGTCTACGTAGTTTCATCTATAGTAACTCCAGTCAAGAAAGTTTTTTCTTGAAAATCGTTAACAATATTACGGATGTTATTCGATGTTATTGGGAAAAGTTAGGTGCATTGTAGCAATAGGCGCATTAATGTATTCAAATAATAAATCACACCGAACCACTGAACACCTATGCTGATCGTTCTTTTTGTAATATTTTCTCGCAGGGCACGCGAGTGAATAAATTTGTCAACTTCCGGCCGAAAGGAAACGTTTAGGAACACGTGACGTGTGACGCGTGACGTCTAACATGGCGGACATATTGGAAGAGCAATCATTACTTTGTCTCAACACATCGCTAAAAATAATTTACATGTCTATCAGGCTTTGATTTTGAAGTGCAACATTTATATGATATTTTTTTTTAACTATTTTGATAGATATTGATTTAAAAATTATTGACGTAAATATTCTGACGATACACCAACTACGGTTTATTCCAGTAGCACAGAATTGTATCGCGCACCTTTCTTTAACAAATTTACGCATTCAATTCTAAAGGCAAGCCTCTTCTAGTTACACATGTGTTAACGTACGTCAAATATGGAAACAAAACGTTGGTCGTTAGTTGGTTAGTTCGCTAGCATGGTGATCAATCATGAGACGCTTAAACAGTTATTATATGCTCAAGATAGTATCTACGCCTTAGGCAAAAATTAGCAAGGCAAGCATGTTTAAAGCCTTCACTGTAAATCACACTACCCGTTTACTTTACATACATTCGTTAACTCAAACGGATATCCTAACTATGTTACGACTAAACCTGATTATTAGTTTAACCTCGTACGATAACCACTTATTTCGTTTGACTTTACAGAAGTACAATCTCTATCGTTTATTATCGGTTGAAACTAGCTATAAAATCGTAAGCCCACCTACTATGCCATAACCCCGAGGATTGCACCTGCATACGTGTGACCTTACGCGTGACCTTACAACTTACTTTGCGCCTCGGACAAATTGATATATCAACTACCTATACACTATCATCAATATATATTTATTTATTTATATATACACATATATACATATTTAAATGCAATATTGGTCTATTCGTCACTTTTATATTTGCAGCAATAACGTATCCATAATTAGAGACTCGCTCTAGTTCGCGTGCATGCTATAGTAAGTGCCTTCTCTTCACGCATGCATCAAACATGATACGGCCAGGTCACATGCACGCGCGCACCCATGCTTGACTGGCCGCTTCTAGCTGGACCACCGCGATAGACCGACCACAGTGCGTTTTACGTCAACCCGTTTTCGCGAACCTTCCCACCGGCTATTGCAGGTTAACTATCGCGTTTGAAATTCCAGCGTTTCTACCGGTTGGGGCCATCAGCGATTAACGACGTACAACTGGATGGACTTTACTACGTTGACCTGACGCTTGCCATAGCCGTGCTTTTATCTGCCCAAAACATTTAGAGAGTAAGAGAGCGCGAATGTTTGTGTAAGGATAATATAACGAATAATCAAGAAATAAGCGAGAGAGAAAAAAAGATAAAAAATGGAAAGATAATGAGAATAAATGAGAGAGAGAGAAACAGAGAGAAGGGGGAGAGAGATTCATTTAATTTTGCTTATATATATATATATATAGAGGCCTATAAGCAAAATTAATGATCTGTGGCCATCTATAGTGAAAGTAGAACATCGGATATTGTCAATTGCACAATTAAGTCGTGGAGCTTAAAAAACATCGTTAACTGTTGCGCACACTCAATCGAACAAGTAGACCGAGTCTCGTGTTCGCGCGTAAGATCTCCTGCGCCAGCTTACTGTAGACTAGAAGTCACACGCCGGCCATGAGGATATTGTGGCCGACGTCGAGGTGAGACTATAAATTATGCCCAACCCAATAACACTGGGGCGATAAACACATAAAGTCACTGGCGTGTACAATTTAAAGTCATTTAAGTTTATTATTTTGAGACTGCTGGCGCGTCGAAGGCCAACGAACAGTGGATTGTTTATGTGTGGTCCAACATATGGAAGTGTTTTTTGGGAAGCGCTATATATTTATGGCGTAGAGAGCAAAGCTGGCGCGTGAATGCAACGTACGTGTCTCGTGTATAGGCATAGAACTGCGTTCAGATATATAAATAATAAACAAACAAACAAACAAACAAACAAACAAAAAAAAAAATAAATATATCTATATCTATCTATCTATCTATCTATCTATCTATCTATCTATCTATCTATCTATCTATTCTATCTATCTATCTATCTATCTATCTATCTAATCTATCTATCTATCTATCTATCTATCGATCTATCTATCTATCTATCTATCTATCTCTCTATCTATCTATCTACTCTATCTATCTATCTATCTATCATTATCTATCTATCTATCTATCTATCTACTATCTATCTATCTTATCTATCTATCTATCTATTTATCTATCATATCTATCTATTATCTATCTACCTACCTACCTATTCTATCTATCTATCTATCTATCTATCTATCTATCTATCTATCTATCTATCTATCTATCTATCTATCTATATAAATAAATAAATAAATAAATAAATATATATATATTGATGATAGTGTATAGGTAGTTGATATATCATTTGTCCGAGGCGCGTAAGGTCACGCGTAAGGTCACACGTATGCAGGTGCAATCCTCGGGGTTATGGCATAGTAGGTGGGCTTACGATTTTATAGCTAGTTTCAACCGATAATAAACGATAGAGATTGTACTTCTGTAAAGTCAAACGAAATAAATGGTTATCGTACGAGGTTAAACTAATAATCAGGTTTAGTCGTAACATAGTTAGGATATCCGTTTGAGTTAACGAATGTATGTAAAGTAAACGGGTAGTGTGATTTACAGTGAAGGCTTTAAACATGCTTGCCTTGCTAATTTTTGGCCTAAGGCGTGATACTATCGTGAGCATATAATAACTGTTTAAGCGTCTCATGATTGATCACCATGCTAGCGAACTAACCAACTAGAAGTTGTGTGTAACTAGAAGAGGCTTGCCTTTAGAATTGAATGCGTAATTTGTTAAAAAAGGTGCGCGATACAATTCTGTGCTACTGGAATAAACCGTAGTTGGTGTCTCGTCAGAATATTAACGTCAATAATTTTTAAATCAATATCTATCAAAATAGTTTAAAAAAATATCATATAAATGTTGCACTTCAAAATCAAAGCCTGATAGACATGTAAATTCTTTTTAGCGATGTGTTCAGACAAAGTAATTATTGCTCTTCCAATATGTCCGCCATGTTAGACGTCACGCGTCACAACGTCACGTGTTCCTAAACGTTTCCTTTCGGCCGGAAGTTGACAAATTTATTCACTCGCGTGCCCTGCGAGAAAATATTACAAAAAGAACGATCAGCATAGGTGTTCGGTGTGATTTATTATTTGAATACATTAATGCACCTATTGCTACAATGCACCTAACTTTTCCCAATAACATCGATAACATCCGTAATATAAGTTAACGATTTTCAAAGAAAAAACTTTCTGACGAGTTACTATAGATGAAACTACGTAGACGCGGAAACACACGTGAGTGACGCATAGCACAGATTCCATCCTGCTAGCCGCATTCCGTGATTATTTCACATATTCTTCGCAGAAACTCGCTAAGTACTCGC